TGAGAAAACAAATTTCTACATGTTGACGATGTAGCTGTTAGAGAGCTTCATAAAATCTGCTATAGGACTATTTCCAATCTATGAAGATCACGAACTACTGGTACTCGTATATTTTCCAGAAAACAAGTTGTACTAGAAAAAATAAAGCAGAGTAGGATAGAAAAATAAAGCAGAGTAGGATAGATTACTGTTTGGTGTCATCTACGTTGCATTCTTGCGTGAAAACTATGTATTATACTGATACATCCTTGAGAGATCATTATCTCGTATACCTTAAACTAAGTACAAACAAAGCAAAAATCTGACCTCTATTATGGATATTAAATAGCAATTTTCTTCGTGAAGAAGAATGTATACAGAGAGGAAAATCGATTCTTACTGAGAGAGTAGCTTAAGAAATGTGTTTCAGTGAGCCGTTAATTTGGTGGGAAAATGTAAGCTAATTAGTACATTCTCACAGGTAGAGTGTACTTGAAGACAGAAGGAAATATTACAAGAATATCATTATTTGCAAAGCAACCCGAAGTCACTTTTTAATAAAAGGTTTCAAATAATGAATCATATAAAATTAACAAAAAATTCAAACAACTGTTAGGTGTCTATGAAACTAAATTTTCTCGAGGTATTATATTGAGTTCTAAGTCAAAAGATGCAATTGGATGCGATCGAAATAACAAGTACTTTCTCAATATTGAAAAGTATCAACAAAACAAAATGTAATCACTGAAGTGATTGATGATGACAATGTAATCACTGCAAATGAAACTGAAATCATAGGTGAGATTTATGAGTTTTATAGCTAGTTTTATTCCTATAGCTTTGATATAAATTGTAAATATTCACTTTAGGATTTCGCAAATTGTAGTCTACCTTACGAGGATATAGATATGCATGATAATATTATAACAATTGATGAAATACATACAGCTATGAAAGGAATTACTATAAATAAATGTTACGAACGGTTTTGACAATAGAATGGTGTTGTACATTTTATAATTGTATATATGAAATTCTGTTACACATTTGTCAGAGTGTTACAAATGGGAATATTATGCTGAGGTCAATGAGATTTGATGTTACATCGCTTATTTATAAAAGCAAGGGAGATAATAGAAGGTTGAACTTTTAGCGCTCCATAAGTTTCATTATGTAAATTATAAAATTTTAGCAAGAATTTTGTCTACACGTCTACAATAATAATTACCAAAAATTAAATCTCTACTTCATACATGTTGTATAGTTGAAAAGTGATATTGCTGATACCATCGTCACTGTATGATATATATATATATATATATATATATATATATATATATATATATATATATATATATATATATATATATATATATATATATATATATATATATTGGATTATCTTTTGTGTTGAGTCATGTATCTTAAATGTTTATCAAATCGAAGTATTTGATAAAGTTAGCCACTCCTATTTGATGATACTGATGACAACTTTATTCAATGGATAAAGATATTATATTGTGAAATCAAAATTAGTGTTAAATATAATGAGCATCTAATGACACTTTTTAAATGGAAATTCAAGCAAGGTTATCCTTTGTGAGCAATGTTAGAAGTGTTAGCTGCAAAAATGTTGGGGCTCACTATCAAATAAAATCCTTATATCAAATGTATTCCACTTGCACTGTATAAAAATGAAAGTAAAATCTTTCAACATGCGGATGATAGAACCAAGACAATAGTGGAAAAACAATCCATTAATCAATCTTTTAACATGCTTTACCTATGTTGGAAAGGATTTTTTTGCAAAAGCGAAAAACTAAAGTAGCTGTGGTTCCGAAACCAGGAAGGAAAAGGAATCTTACTGGATAATACGCCGCCTTAGAACATTCAAACCAAGCGGTCTAAACCAAGTAGACTAGAAAAAGAGAACTCTGCACTAGTAGAATTAGTTTTTGCAGCCGACACAGTTTCTTTTTAAACTTCTTCTAAATCTTCTTAGTATCCTTTATTTATTACTATAGGAATATCCGGTAGAGAATCAAATATCCGGGATATAATCTGCGTCACATAAATGTACAAAAATGTAATAGTTGTGGCTTTGGCTTGTAGACTTTTAGGGAGTTATAAACAGTTTTCAGTATTCGCAACAAGTCTATACAGGCTGGTTGTATCTATAGGTTTAACTAATGTGGAGACAGCCAGGTAAAGGTTTACAAACACAGCGATTTTGTGTTTGTTTGTTTTGTATATGTTTTGTATTTGTCTTTCAAAAAGACTCAGTAAGAGTGGAAAGCGCTCAGGCTAGTTAGTTACTAGTTTCACACTGTTCGTTGTCAGTTTATTGTATCTGTCTTAATCAATCCCTGACACACGTGATCCTTGTCGTACCCAGTGCGCTTGAATGGGTTGTTATTCGCCATATGATTTGTATTCTTTATATATGCAATAAACTGACGACCAACAGTACGAAACTAGTAACTAACTAGCCTAAGCGCTTTCAACTCTTAATGAGTCTTTTTCAAAGGCAAATACAAAACATATATACGACAAACAAATAAACACAAAAACGTTGTATTTGTAAACCTCTACATGGCTGTCTTCACATGTGCTAAAACTATAAATACAACCAGTTTGTATAGTTCCCGCAACTAGTCTATTCATGTAAAAATTGTATTGTTGGTGGTCTTAAGAGCATTTCTTATGAACATATGTTTATGATAGGATATAACAAAGAAACAACATCAGTCAATAATTATTTTTGAACTACATTTTCAGCTTTGCTCGATAGTGTATTTACAAAAGATGTAACAGTATGCCATTATTTACGGAAAATAGACATTGGAAAACTGTTTCAATATTGGATTAAGAAATATATATTATTTGCTTATCAACAAAGACAAAAAAGCAATCTTTGATTACAAGATATTATGTTCAAGATAATCTGTTGATACAAAATAGGCGAAGAAGAAATTGTTTATAACGTTGTTTCTTTAACACAATGTAACATTACAACACAAAATACTGTTAACATATTGACTGTATACGTTTACCTTACTAATTGTATTGAAAGCTTTCAAATAAAGAAAGAAAAAGTGCTAGTTTCATAAAATAGGTCGATACTTCAGTAGCCATTGTTGTAAACACGAAACTGACCAATTATATTCCAAGTTTTGTTTTTGTTCGATGGTTTCGAACTGTATTTGGGGTAGTTGCATCAAACATAATCAAACCATTAAAATTTTGACAATTAATTAAAGTTTGATATTGTTAGTTTTCTTTTCTAGTATAATATGGGATCAAACATCCTTTGCTAAACCACACAGCAAATAACAATATAAAGATCGTCATGTAAGTCGGCCAGATGAGAAAATCAACTACAGAAAAAGCATTAAGTTCTCAAATATTCATTAGATTACAAAGCAAACGACATTTTAGCTGAAGTAAACGACTTTCACCTTGAATACATATAAGATTATTATAGGCTGAATTGAATTTAGTTCCCATATCAATATTTCTTTAAACAGTGATTTGTACAGTAAATTAATTTACTACGATAAACATTCGATTTAATGTCGACGAATGAGATAATTACTATAGTAAACAAATAAGGACAGTCGAAATGAATGAGTTCCCTATATGGATGTAAAAGATATACACACTATAGCAATGAGGATTGGTGTAAATTCTAATAATATGTAACTTTTCGGAACTTATCAAATAGTACATAGATATTTTGAGGGTGTAGTTACACGTTGTTACCAAGTTAGGACACTTTGACGAGTGGAGAAACTAGCCTGAAATTTAGCAGATTAAATTTGCATTTAAATCTATAAGTTTGCGTTCATATTTTTATTCTATCCGTCAATTACACATCCGAATATCCATTCCGGTGATTCACAAAGCTAGTGATTGTTTATCCCTAATTTAATCAAACGGCCTGTCTGTCCGTGCACGTGAAAACTTGCCGTCTCTATTGATTCACGTACGATGTACTATTTACTGTTTGCTGTAGCTCCAAGGGAAACAGTGCATTTTGAAAACGAGAAGCTTACATCCCCAAGTGAAATCACCATGGTAGCACGATATTCCTCACTCTTCATGAGAATAAACACTCTTCTTTGTCTAAGCTAAAGCTATTGTTATTCAGTAATTTATTAGAACTGGTGATGCAATGGAAAATATTCGAATCATCAGTCTTTGTTGAACCGTTTCATTATTGACGACCCGATCTCGGTGTATACTATGAACTGAATGCAGTTCGGTATTACGTTTTACGCATGCTTCTGATATCTTACAATACATGAAACTAGTTTTTCATAAATTTGGGAAATATGTATTCTTCTTTATGTTATTTTTGATGATTTGGTTTATATGCAAGGTCTATTTCTTTTATGCTGTTTTTCGTTTTATGTGAAGAATGTTTGAAGTATTTCGTATTTATCTCGCACCGTTTTAGTTACGTGGATCTGTAATCTTCCAATTTTCAGGTTTCAGTTATAAGAAGATAACGACAGCTTCCATGATTATTTACTCCCTAAGTAAATTCATGGAACGTGATGAATTTATAACACATTTTAGTGTAGACGAAAGTGAAGTGCTATTAACACTATGTTTGATATATAAAGATATGGGTTTTATCATACATTTAGTTTTCATTTCTGCAGGAATGAGACATTAAAAGATCTCTTTAGTATCAAACCGCAAGATCTTCCAAATGGATACTATTTTAGTTTAGGATATTTATATCGTGTCTTTCTTAGGAGACAAAAGTAGCCGGGATTTAACTGAAACAAGGTGAATTAATATATTTATCATTGAGTGTTAATGTTTAAACTTAAGTCCATCTTTGAAGCAACTATTGACTTATAGTCAACCGATATTTTATCAGCTGCAGAAAACAGCGTATCAAATAGCGTAATATTAGCGTAATAATTTTACCTATGTCATACACAGGTTGCCGCTTAGTTCGCGGTAAAGTTAATACGTCAATAATACACTTTATTACATACAAGCAATGTGGCTCCATTGCTCAGGTGGTTAGAGCGCCAGTCTCGTAAAATGGAGGTCGAGAGTTCGAATCACTCTGGGGCTTTATGTTTTAAACGTTTAAATGAACAATTCGTCTTAATTTTGGGGCATCTTGACGGGTTCTGATTGCAACGGACGCAGATGCATCACTCCATTTAAAACCATGACAAACGACATAAGTTTTACAGGATACTATTTAGTCTTTTAATAAAGTGGGATCAACTGTCTCTTGTCGAATTCCCACATTAAATAACGACACAAATATGTAACGTAAGTTGGGCGAACATAGGAATGGACACGGATTGACTGAAATAAGCAAAGTCCCATTAGGCTCCTTGACTTCCAACTTTGAACGATCTTACTTTTATGTTGCATACTGCTGTCTCTGGTGTCTCTCTCTTTTAATGACCTTCAAGATCTTGTCGAGTAAAAAATTTCTCTTTTTATTGAATTAGCTGTTTTAAACATACAAGAAATGAACACCAATCAACTGTCAGAACTATGTTGACAATTTTCAAATTAGCAAGTTAAAAACAAGGAAAAACCGTTGTTTACCAAAGTCAGGAAACTATATTTCCTAAAAACATACGATGCAAACATTTTTTTCTGTCAGCTGGTTCGTCGTAATTCTGGAAGCCGTTTATGATCAATACGAATCCTTGGAAAGTTTTTGCTATGGTTCCCATTTAATCTATGTCCGTGTCCTGGATACAACTTTACAGGACTGGTTTTCTCTGAAAAATGTAGGTCCCATGCATATAGCTCTTTTGATGGTCTGGTTTGTTTTCTTTTATTATCATCTTATTCAGCATTGGATTGTGTCTGACAGAGTACAGGTCTAAATACTGAATTCGGGTTTAAACCTACCGTTGAATACCTAAAAGCCTTTGGCTTATTTTATTCGGGATATTTGGCCTATTTCATAATTTTGTGACACCTTCAAGTAAGACATACAAGCAACCATATTGAGGACAATGTTTGTCAAGATGTTATCTTGACATTCTAGCAACGGTAATAGGTTATTACTGGAGGCTTCGTACGGGATTGGTAGATTCAAGGCAATACCTAACGACAGAAAACAAGAACAAGGAGCAATTTGATTCACATTTAATCCAAGTCTGTGTCCTATATACAACTCTACAGGACGGATTTTCTCTGATTAAATGTAGGTCCCCTGCATATACCTTTTTAGATGGTCTGATTTGTTTTCACAGATGATTTGCTTATCATCTTATTCAGCATTGAATTGTGTCTGACAATAATGAAACAAATTGCAACTTAAACTGAACGTAGAGGTAATAAAGAATACACAATTGATTAGGTATAAAATTAAAATACTAATTTATGACATTAGCTCCATTGTAGGCTGCACTAAACGATTTTCACCTAGAGTATATTAAGAATATTAAAAGTAGAAGAAACTTTTTTCCGAAAGGAATATTTGTACAAGCTGGGGGGTGTTCAGTTAAATAATTGTCCAAGAAATTTTTTTGTATGTCACATAAAAAATGACTTACCATAGTAAATAAAAAAGGATATTACAAAGGAAATAATTCCACATATGGATGCATGGTCTATCTATAATATTTTCATGCATACGGGTGTAAATTCTAAATATGGGTAACTTGTATTGGCTTAATAAATACCACGTAGGTATTTTGGTTGTAATTACAGAGTTAATACAGTTTATGAATGTAGAAGCTAACTTAAATTAATATTTAAACAGTTTATAGGTTGTACTTAAATCCCTTTGCCGGTTGTTTGAACTTTCGGAATGGTTTCACTGCAACAATACCGTACTGTACGAGGATCACTTGGTTGTTTGTTTCAATGAGCGACAATTAAACGCGAGGGTGTCAGAACTTTGTCAGAGAGGGGTCACGTTTGCAAATATCTGAAACTTTTGGATAAGGTGGTAATGCAATTATAAGCTTAAAAGGAAGATAGTTGTTTTCGGTCTATTTCATGTTTGCTTTGTTCAACAGCTATCACTGATCATCTTTAATATTTTCAGTATACTTCTAGTAGAATGTCACTCTTTTATTGTAAGGAATACACTACTCATTTATTCATATCGAGGATTGTAATGTACCTGTTAGCGTGATTGTTTTCGCATGTTCTTTTTACATATTTCTCTGTAAATTTAAGGAGAATTTAAAACACTGCATTTATATATGGTATGAAGCAGTTTCATACACCAATATTATTGCTATATCAAATTGTGATCAGCCAAAGCGCAATACTAAGCATATATAAATATTCTTGGAACTGTTTCCTGTCGGTTCCATTCCTATATATCAGGAATGAATTTCCAATCTTTTGTCCTTGCTGACGTGTGAAAAATGAAGATACAAAGTAATAATAATCCCAATTTTCTAAATGCATTTAACATGGCACAAATTTTCAATGCAGTCCTTTCTGATGTCAGTTCGCCAATTCCCATTTCCCTCTCATGCATACGGACAAACTATCGAAACTCTGAAGTGTAAGAGAAAAGGAATGGATGAAAACATTGTAACTGAACTTGCACAAACTAACCTGGGACAATCATTCGTCGTAACGATATGTATGCACTTTCCTTGGTGATCTATCTATGGAATCAATTAGTTGCAAAAGCATGTTCAAGGTAAATTGCTTGTTTACGGGGCTCACAGTGTAATGTATTCAATGTCTTGTTGCTGTTTTCTAGACCTATTATAAGGTTCAAAAATCGATAATTATTATGAAAATATAAAAATGTATATATGCCGCCTCTCTCTCTCTCTCTCTCTCTCTCTCTCTCTCTCTCTCTCTCTCTCTCTCTCTCTCTCTCTCTCTCTCTCTCTCTCTCTCTCTCCTATCAAAGGCTAAATAAAGGCGAAAATTTATGAAAAGATGATTATAGATGATTTTCGCTTGTGTCATACAACGATGCCTCTGGACCTATGAAGAATGATGGTAAACGGTACGTCAAGACGATCACAGAGTGGGTAGTCACGTTAAAATAAAGTATAAGTAATTTCATGTATGGTTTTGCTGAATTATGTTTAGTTGCACGCTTAAGTTCAGAAAGAAAGAACAAGACAGACATTCCCCTCATTATATCGACACGTGTAACAGGCCGTTCATGACATTGTTCTTTAGTTCTTGTTTTTGATGTTCTCCTATCTATACGAATGTATTGGTACAAAAATAGTATATTTTGAAACTGACCGTCTGCGCTAAAGGATTTAGTATATTGTCAAAGGGAATTTGAAATTATCAGTGGACTAGCGAATTGGCAAATGCAGCTTGAACCTATCAGTTGATTAGTTTACCTATTATTTATTTTGCGAGCACCACACAGAAAAGGAGATTACTTGAAGTCATTTAAACTGGTAAGTGTTTTAAGACTTCATTATCTTAACTTCTTTTGATGACAAATGTTATGTATATTCAATTTTTACCGTGTTCTTGACAGCTGTCCGTAATTGAGAATAGGAATTTGGAAGTTCCTAACTAATGTAGTTTTCTCTCAAAAATATGTTTAATTGGAACTATATTCATGACATTGGTTTCTCCCTTGAAAAGTACATGGTATACCTGATTGCAGACATTTTTATAGGTTATAACTAAGTTATATACTGAGATTTGAATTAGAGGTGCAGACGTAGAATATTCCAGAAGCAGACGTCTGACCTTCATCCTGTTGATTTCATTGTGTTATAGATTTTTATATTAGATTTTGATAAACAGATAAACAAGGTTAATTCATTCCTCCTTTAAATATAGTCTTTGGATTTATTTACTGTTGTGCTCAATTACAATTTTGAGGGGAGTCATGTAATGAAAATAATTGACATAATGGATTAAATCACTTTTTTGAGATTATTGTGAATTCACGCAAAACATTCTAAATTATATCATTGTGATATATAAAGACTGTTTGTACATAATCGTATTATTAGGCTATTGGTACAGCACACCTCAGATTAGATTTTCTTTCTTAACAACAGTCTATACGTTTACATATGTGATATAATATTCCGTAGTTACTTGTAATGTATGTACTCAATACTGTTAAATTCAACTTTCATGTTGACCTTTTAACTTAGAATATAAATTTACTTGTTGATTGTATTAAACGCTTTGGTTTATCTTCTTTATGTTAACTTAGTTGAATACTATAAAGTCGTAACAAAAGTTTGCTGAGCAATAGATCAATGCCTATACAGAGTTTACTGGACCTTTAAAAATTCGATTTTTAAGACAAGTCAAGCAACAATTTATTCTTGGGATTGCTGATTAAGATTGCTGAAATAAAGGCGACAAATCTTGGGAATCTTCAATAAAAAGGTAGGCTCCAATGGCGCTCTAACCAACTGAGCTATGGAGCCGCAGTTGTCAAATAACTGAAACATGTTGAACGAAAACTAATTTTGAATGTGATTTCCAGATCCCACTGACAACAACTCTGCAAACTGGATCTGGATTCGGATCTCGTTTGTCTATTCGTCACATATCATATTGAGTATTGCAGTGACCAAACGTGTGATGTTTAATCAACACTTGCATCAATGTTAATAAGGGCAAATACCTCTGTTAAACATATCTACAAAGGGAATAAAGAAAACTAGTATGCAAAGCAAGCACAACAAATCAACAAACAAACACCAAGAATGACAAACAGTATAAAGAGGCCAATGTACATAGTATATTTAAGAGCGACATGAGTTCGATGTACCAGGAGATTAAGCCTGATCCATTTTCTTACAACAGGACTTTGAGTATCCGTTCAGTTGATACAATATGTTTACACAATGTTATTTTTCTTTAAAGTGATTTAACCATGATTTTACACCGAGCACCATGGGTATAATAGTTGCAAGATGGAAAAGCACTCGAAGAGTAAGAAGAGTCTTCCTTCAATAGTGTCATTGTTAATGTCGACGAAAACGAGTCTGCATGACACTTGAAGTTTGGACATCTAGAACGGATCTGCCGTTCGGCAGGTGAACGTTTAAGCAGAACGGTGAGAATAAAATGGCAGACATAGAATCATTTCCATTATTAAGATAGATCAGCTCTTAATATTTCGAAATAAATTGTTTGATACACTAATTATTGGTGCCAAAACTGTGTCGAGCAATCAACCTAATACGAGACACGATATATAATTTATATAGTTATGTACACTAGGTGTATATTATGAAGTCTATCGATATTACCACGTCTACAAAATAACCTTCTTTTTAGCTGTGTGTGCGTGTGTGTTTGTGTGTGTATGTGTGTTTGTGAGTGAGAGAGAGAGAATTATGCTGAGAGTAAGCAAAATGCAATCTAAATATTAAGCCCCTTTATCTTCTGATTTGGAACAATAAATTTATTGTGACCAAAAGGTGGCAAGGAATATTTTACGTGTTCACTAAAATTAAAAAGACTATCAAAGGTGGCTGGTGACAAAAACAAAAATTGATTGTGATGAACAAGAATTTTTTTCAGTGTTAATGTTAATAATCAGAACATTATCACCCGTTTTGTCAATATATTTTCAATAATGTCTACTCCATGATTTAGGTACGCAGGGACCGTGACTCAAAACTTCAGAAGGCATTTCAAGTCATCCTCCCTCTATCCCTCCTTCCATTACACCATATCTCTCTCTCTCTCTCTCTCTCTCTCTCTCTCTCTCTCTCTCTCTCTCTCTCTCTCTCTCTCTCTCTCTCTCTCTCTCTCTCTCTCTGAACGGGGTCGACAGGTAACTGCAACATTTTGATGAAATTTGTGTTTATATTATTATTGTTAAAACCCCATATCGAATTATATTGATGAGTTGTGCTATCCTTGAATGTAGACCATGTAGCAATGTTTTCCAGTTGATTTCATTATTTTGGATTATTTAGTAGCAATTTTACCTGGAACGTACAAGAACTGCATTCGCTAAATGGAGATAGGACTCGACTTAAACTTGAACTAAGACTTCATCGTATCAGTGTCCACTGGCACAACATTTCCTGGTGAGATATCCATCAAGGATTTACTCACTAGGGAAATATTGCTTATGTAAGCAGAGTAAAGAAAATTAGTAGTAATGTCCAATAGCTAAGATATTATATTTGTCTTTGTCAACACCACGGTTGTCACGCAGTTGGAATGTAGAAACGAAGGTTTGGCTGATGAATCAAGAGATAATTTTTTTACACAAAATGTGTTGCAGAAATTTGATACAATTATTCTACATTTTTAAATAAATTTTGTTTATTTTTATTTACAATGTATCTTGACTTATGGGAAAAAAATATGTAATAGACGTTCTGATTTTTACATGTTGACTTCATTTGTATATTACGTAAGTCTTTGTGGTTTGAGTTAACATTGTAATACCGTATAATAATTCATTGCTATATCGCGATATACTGGGATGACATTACGTTGTATTCACGACATGTTGCATCCTCTCACCTTAATGCAAGTACATTGATGCACCCTAGTCTTACGAATGTCTTGTTACAGTCTACTTCAAAAGGCAGATTTCAAAGTCTGTGGATATATTCATTTATGATTTATAAGTCAATACAGTCATTAACATGAATGTATACATTAAGAAGAATTTGAAATTGCTCATATTATCTACTGGTGGCGGGAATAATCTATATTGGATCGATCTAGGAAATTTGAAAAGAGCACAGCTTGAAAGTCATTAATTGGCCGATTTTAAGAGATACAATAGCTTATTATTACAAACTTAGAGCCCTATACATAATAGCTTTATTGTGGCTCCATAGCTCAGTTGGTTAGAGCGCCAGTCTAGTAAACTGGAGGTCGAGGGTTCGAATCCCACTGGAGCCTTTTTAGCTTTCCTTTTTTAACACCCTCCGAGTTGTTTTGTAATTTTTAAATCAGATCGCTGATTTCGAGTATTCCGATTTGTCTTGTTCTTATATTCATACTGTTATGGATGTATTAATATTTAACGGCACATCAATACAAATACAGCTACCTAGCTTAAGTCAACAGTTTATATCTACCTGAAGTCTTTGTTTTATGTTTACGTACCGATTAAACCAAACAATGTTTACTTAGTTTCAAAAGATAAAGCGGTCTAAAGCAGTAGCATGAATTTTTGATCTGATCAGTTAGACATGTAACTGTAAAGATGCGGGACCCGTAGCATCAATGAACTCATTAAAGTTTGAAGTAGGTTAATTGCCCACCTAGGGACTGGAATACAAAAGCAAAAAGATAAATAAATAAATAATCGGATGAGCGAGAATAAATAAAAGTTTTAACATAAAAGTAACAAATTACAAAAACTGGGAAGCCGGTCCGAGTTTCTAACATTTGACCTCTTGACAGTTGGGAAAGAAAGAAAGAAAGAAAGAAAGAAAGAAAGAAAGAAAGAAAGAAAGAAAGAAAGGAAGAAAGGAAAAGAAAGAAAGACAATTTTGAGTATTTATATTATATGATGAAATGTATTCGTTTGCTTTCCTGTACGTTTAAGAGATAGTTTGAACTGTTTTGACTATCATTCCTTGTGTTCAAGTTTGAGAAATTAGCATAAAATAATTCATTTTAATAGTGTCATTTTATTAACGATTACACAGTAACACCAAGTTTTGAATAATAATATGATAAACTTTCCACTTTTCTTATTTAAAATAAAATTTCCTCAACACACAGTGCAGGGACCAAAATTGTGCACACACCTTAAAGGTGCATTAACCTGAATACACCTTTTATCTTGTTTGTTTAACGCCAGTATTCAAACAGTATAAACGACAGACCACGGTGGCATGGTCTCTCTCACTAAATGACCTTAAGGGTCATATTAAATGGTAGAATTATGGTATTATCAATGAGCGCCCTAACATTGGCATGGATCTTGGTCTCCACCCCCATCCCTGAATTTCACCTCTAAGCATGTTTTGGCATACATCTGTTAAACTTAATTATCTGCTCACTACATGTTTTCCCCACCTCGAAAATAAATTTGCGTGTGACCCTGTATCTATGGGAGTCGAATGTACTCATTTGATATCATGTGGATTATGGTAATATATACATGGTGCAACGTCGAAAATCGATGCGCAAACCTTAAAAAATGTTGAAGGTCCAGCAACTTTGTAAATTTGTCTAACGCCTACTAGTTTGTTCAGTTGTTCTAAGATTATAAACGAAATACCACGCTGATATTTGCATACTAGCAAATTGACTTTCAAGAATCGTTTTCGATTTATTTTTCTGGCAGAATGACAGCATAAGAGATGGAACCGCACTAAGACTATAGCTGAGCACGATTCATCTAGATGCATCACTTTGTTAAGAGATGGTGTAATATATATTACTTCATCAATCAGTGATACTGCTTAGTAATTCCCTAAAACTGCAAACAGCCAGCCTAACTCTTTCAAAAAAGTGGACAAACCATTCCTCGATAAGTATATAACAAAGACAATAGTTTATAGTGTACAGCGGCAATATTGAATAATGTTTGCAAATTGATACGGGCCCAAGATCACAGCACTAACTCGCTATCGTTCATTCGTTAATCTCGTTATCTTAGTTATCGTTATTGTTCAAGTATTCAGATCACCGATTATTTATTTATTTATTATTCTTTTAACTTTTTGTATTCCAGTCCGTCCCTAGGTGGGCAATTAACCTACTTCAAACTATAATTGTCATTGATGCTATGAGTTTCGCATCTTTACAGTTACATGACTAACTGGTCGATTAAACAATTCATGTTACTGCTTTAGACCGCTTTAACTTTTGAAACCAAGCACAATTTTTTTGATTTAATATGAATTAATAAACATTTTAATCCCATCTGTATGCATAGCAATAGAAATAACTTAACTTGTTGTAACTATATGTAGGCACAATAATGCAATCATAGTACTAGTATCCCACTAAATTAATTATAATATAAATTTTTGTTCCTCCGTTTTAAAATCGTGTGGTTGAACTGTACAATGCAATAACTATAATCGGTACGTAAACCTAAAACAGAGACTTCAGGTGGATATAAACTGTAGACTTTAGCTGTATTTGTATTGAATTGCCGTTAAATATTAATACATATATACCAGTATGAACATAAGAACAAGAGAGATTGGAATACTCGAAATCTGGAATCAACGATCTAATTTACAAATTACAAAACAACTCTGAGCGTGTTAAAGGAAAGTACAAAAGGCTCCAGTGGAATTTGTACCCTCGACCTCCAGTTTACTAGACTGGCGCTCTAACCAACTTAGTTATGGAGCCACAATAAAGCTATTATGTATTGCGCTCTAAGTTTGTAATAATAAAGCAATTGTATCTCTTAAAATCGGCCAATTACTGACTTTCAAGCTGCGTTTTTTTTCAAATTTCCTACATCGATCTAATATAGATTATTCCCGCCACCAGCAGATAATCTGAGCAATTTGAAATACGTCTTACTGTATACATTTATGTTAATAACTGTATTGATTTCTAAATCATAAATGAATATATCCACAGACTTTGAATTCTGCCTTTTGAAGTAAACTGTAACAAGACATTCGTAAGACTAGGGTGCATCAATTTACTTGCAATAAGGTGAGATGATGCAACATGTCGTGAATACAACGTAATGTCATCCCAGTATATCGCGATATAGCAATGAATTAACATATAAAGGTATTACAATGTTAACACAAACCCCAAGGACTTAAGTAATCTACAAATGAAGTCAACATGTAAAAATCAGACCGTCTGTTACATATTCTTTTCCCATAGTTCAAGATACACGGTAAAATAAAAAAAAACAAAATTTATTTGAAAATGTACAAATATTTTGCAACACTTTTTTTTCAGGAAAATTATTATTTCTTTATTCATCAACCAAACATTCCTTTCTACATTCCTAATGCATGTCACCCGTGGTGTTGACAAATTAAACCATTGTCTTAGCTATTTGACATTACCAATATCTTTCTTTACTCTGCTTACATAAGCAATATTTCCCTAGTTAGTAAATCCTTGATGGATATCTCACCAGGAATTTTTTTTGCCAGTGGACACTGATACGATGAAGTCTTAGTTCAAGTTTAAGTCGAGTCCTATCTCCATTTAGCGAGTGCAATTCTTGTATGTTCCAGGTAAAATTGCTACTAAATAATCCAAAATAATGAAGTCAACTAGAAAACATTGTTACATGGTCTACATTCAGGACAACACAACTCATCAATATAATTCGATATGGGGTTTTAACAATAATAATATAAACACAACTTTCAACAAAATGTTGCAGTTACTTGTCGACAACATTCAGAGAGAGAGATATAGATAGATAGATAGATGGTATAATGGAGGAAGGGATAGAGGGAGGAAGACTTTTGAAATGCTTTCTGAAGTTTTTAGTCACGGTCACTGCGTACCTAAATCATGGCGTGGACATTTGTGAAATTACATTGGTCCCTCCGGATGATAATGTTCTGATTATTAACATTAACACAGAATAACATTCTTGTTCATCACAATTAATTTTTGTTTCTGTCACCAGCCACCTTTGATAATCTTTTTAATTTTAGTGAACGAGTAAATTATACCTTGCTACCTTTTGGTCACAATAAATTTATTGTTCCGACGATATTAGAAGATAAAGATGTTGAATATTTAGATTGCATTTTGCTTACTCTCACCATAATTCTCTTTCACAAACACACAAACACACACACACACATGAACACACACATCTAAAAAGAAAGGTATTTTGTAGACGTGGTAATATCGATAGTGCACACAACCATGCAAATTATGTATCGTGTCTCGAATCAGGTTGATAGCTCGACACAGTATTAGTACCAATAATTAATGCCTCAAACAATTTATTTCGAAATATTAACAGCTGATGTATGTTAATAATTGAAATGAATCTACGTCTGCCATTTTATCCTCACCGTTCTGCTTAAACGTTCAACTGCCAAAAGGCAGATCCGTTCTAGATGTCCAAACTTCAAGTGTCATGCAGACTCGTTTTCGTCGACATTAACAATGACACTATTGAAGGAAGACTCTTCACTCTTCGAATGCTTTTTTTTCTTGCAATTATTATACCCATGGCGCTCGGTGTAAAATCATGGTTAAATCACTTTTTAAAAAATAACATTTTGTAAAATTATAGTATCAAGTAACAGACATCTGCATGAATGAAAACAACTGCCCCTACATTTCGAATAGGTTTACTATTAAAAGAATGGATGCTCAAAGTCCTGATGTAAGAACGAAGGATTCGGGATAATCTCCTGGTACCTTACCTCATGTCGCTCTTAAATATACCATGTATGTACATTGGCCTCTTTATACCGTTTGACATTTGTTAGTGTTTGTTGATTTGTTGTGCTTGATTTGCATAATATTTTTGTTTGTTATTTCCTTCGTAAATATGTTAAATAATGGTATTTGCCCTTATTAAGATTGATGCAAGTGTTGATTAAACATCACACGTTTGGTCTCTGCAATACTCAATATGATATGTGACGAATATACAAACGATATCCGAAACCAGATCCAGTTTGCACAGTTTCTGTTAGTGGGATCTGAAAATCACGTTTAAAATTAGTTTTCGTACAACATATGTTTCAGTTATTTGACAACTGCGGCTCCATAGCTCAGTTGGTTAGAGCGCCATTGGAGCCTACCTTTTTATTAAAGATTCTCAATATTTGTTTGTATTAACACATTTATTCAAAAAGTATATGGAAGTCAAGGCTCCAATTTCCGTTATGATTTTGAATACAAAGACACAGACAAAGACACATTATCTGCAGTAAACTAACTAGGTACATAACAAAGTTTGTTTTCCACCGAACAGCCGTGCGCTGTGATGATCTATGAGCAAATAGCTTTGCTGGAATGGTGTCTCCCCCTTGGCAAAATACAACCCAAATAACATTTTCTTTCATTATATTTGTATTAATAGACATAAAGTTTCCTATTGAGAGACACTTGCATGTATTGTCTTGATAACATATTTTGTACCAGCCGCATGAATGTAAGAGATTTGTGGTGTTGTCGATGGCTAGCATGGTTCACCGATCAACTGCCTCCTTTGTTATAAAACACACTTCAAATACTACTTTTTTCCTTAGTTTTGTCCTATTGAGCCAATCTTGCAGGTATTGATTTCATTACATATTTAGTACCCGACGCACAACTGGTAAAGATTTATAATGAGGAAATAAAGGAAAGATGGACCAACACAGGTTGCAAAAATGTTATTTACTGTGTGTAATACCTAATGCACTATGCTGTTTATTGTCAATGTAAAGTACAGTTTTGGGTCACAATTTGTTTGTTAATGTACAGTTGCGACTTTTTGTGATCATCTAGAATATGTCCCAATCTCCAATCGAATGATGAAGTGCATGTGTTCGCGGACGAGTTTTGCCATCAAGAAACCTGTACAATTTACATTTTTGTTTTAAAACAAAATCTCATCTTATTATTTTCACAGTACATAATAATAGTGTACATAATAATTAAATTCCTTCCTTCATATCAACATGATCATTGGTACATCACAATCGTCGATATGAATAAAGGAGTAGTGTATGTCTTACGATAAAAGAGTGACATTCAACTAAAAGTATACTGAAAATATTAAAGATGATCAGTGATAGCTGTTGAACAAAGCAAACATGAAATAGACCGAAAACAACTATCTTCCTTTTAAACCTACAATGACATTACCGACTCATCCAAACGCTTCAGATATTTGCAAACGTGTCCTCTCTCTGACATAGGTAGTTCTAACGCCTTCGCTTTTAATTGTCGCTCATTGAAACAAATGACCAAGTAATCCACGTACGGTACGGTAGTGTAGCAGTGAAACCATTCCGAAAGTTCAAACAACCGGCAAAGGGATTTTCGTGCAAGCTATAAACTTTTTAAATATCGATTTAAGTTATCTTCTCCATTCATAAACTGTATTAACTCCGTAATTACACCCAAAATACATAAGTGGTATTTAAGTCAATACAAGTTACACATAATTAGAATTTACACCCGTATGCATAAAAATATTATAGATAGATCATGCATCCTTATGTGGAATTAATTCCTTTCTAATATCTTTTTTTTTACTATGGTAAGTCATTTTGTATGTGACATAAAACAAAAGTTATTTCTTGGACAATTAATTAACTGTACAACAGCCAGCTTGCACAAATATTCGTATTTGAAGAAACGTTTCGTCTACTTTTAATATTCTTGAATATACTCTAGGTGAAACTCGTTGACTTCAGCTTAGAATGGAGCTAATGTCATAAACTTTTATTATTATTTTATACCTAATCTAATGTGTATTCTTTATTTCTTCTACGTTCAATTTCAGTTACCATTTGTTTCATTATTGTCAGACACAATGCAATGCTGAATGGGAGGATAAGCAAATCATCTGTGATAACAAATCAGAACATCAAAATAGATATATGCTAGGGACCTACATTTAATCAGAGAAAATCCTTCCTGTAAAGTTGTATCCAGGACACATACTTGGATTAAATGTGAATCAAATTGCTCCTTGTTATTGTTTTCTGTCGTTAGGTATTGCCTTGAATCTACCATTTCCATAGGAAGCCTCCAGGAATAAGCTATTATCTTTTCTAGAAAGTCAAGATAACATTTTCACAAGCATTGTCGTAAATATCTTTGCTTGTATGTCTTATCTGAAGGTGTTAAAAAAATATATGCAAAAGGGCAAAAGTCCCGGATAAACTATGCTAACGGCTTTGCGGTATACCAACGGTAGGTTGTAACCCAAAGTCGGTATTTAGGCCTGAACTCTATCAAACGCAATCCAATGCTGAATACAATGATAAGCAGATTATCGGTGAAAACAAAGAGGAATATGCAAGGGACCCTCATTTAATCAGAGAAAATCAGTCCTTTAAATTTGTATCCAGGACACGGACTTGGATTAAATGTGAACCATAACTGACACTTTCCAAGGATTCATATTGATCATTACATATTTATGCCGTTATTTAATGTGGGAATTCGACAAGGGACAGTTGATCCAAATTTATTAAAAGACTAAATAGTATCCTTTTAAAGATTCAGTCGTTCGTCATGGTTTTAAATGCATCTTCATCCGTTGCAATCAAAACCCGTCAAAATGCCTCAAAATTAAGACGATTTGTACATTTAAACGTTTTGAACAAAAAAGTTCCAGAGGGATTCGAAATCTAGACCTCCAGTTTACGAGACTGGCGCTCTGACCACCCTGATATAAGTAGCCA